GAGGTTGAACCGCCCAACTTGTAACCACTACCCCACCAGGGCTCTCACACAGACTCATGGACACCCCAAATACACACTTACCTATTAACAGATAGCCTGACACAACATTTGGCTCTGTGACCAGAGGAAGCCTAGCTGTTTCTTGGTGGAGCCCTGGAATTTCCATGAACAAGCACCTTTGAGAACTCCCAACTGGAAAAGAATGCCAAGAAGAGAGCTGGAAAAAAAATAGCATCCGGCCCAGATGAAATGAAATGCTAAGAATTCCTGTCCCAGGTATTCTTAAAACTGGATGAGGCTGGAGAATATGGATTAGGTTTTGTTGTTGTTTTTCGTATTAGGTTTTATTTTAAGGCTAACTTCCCTCAAAAACAAAACCCTAAGCCCTGCTGACATAGAGTCCCTTCTAAGGCCCAAGGACCCCAAGTGCCACAGCGGGGAACTGGGCTCAGAGGATTTTCTCAGCTAGAGTGTTTGCAGAAGCAGGTAGCCACGTCTCTCTCCTGTGATGCTCTTGGGTGGTTCGGACCAAGGAACGTTTTGGCCAAGATATCCATTGGCACCACCCAGGGCCATAAGGAGACATGACCATTTGAAGTCTAAGGCCCTCCCAGTGAGAGTAAGGAGACAACTCATATCAGTTCATCATGGAAGACAGACTGGGTGTTGAGCTGTTAAGAGAGTCCATCTGTACTCCAGAGCCCACGAATAAATGGTACCTGTGAGCCAGCCCATCGGTGTCCCAGGATGGATTACAGAGAGCAGAGATCATCTGTAGCCCTTTTTCCTTCAGGTACAGTCCATTGAATGAGCACGACCCTGGGGCCACTTTTCATAGGCAGCCACCCCGAATTCCCTGAAGACCCCACTTCCGACCATGGCTGTCTCTGCCACCTGTGCCTTCTAGGGAGTCTGTCTCACCTTCAACACAAATGCTTCTATTTCAGTCTCTGGTTCAACCACCTTGAGGCTTATCAATATTATAGCTGAACTTGCACTGGTGGCTTATCATCTGCTTCCCCAAGGCAAATCCTGGAAAGGAAAGGCTCACACTGCCCTTGTGGCTGGGCTCCTATTCATCGATGCACTCTTTCCCCAGCCTGCTGGTGGAAAACGTGTACTATGTTAAGTCCCTAGGAGGGTTTTAGGACTTTAAAATGGCTGCATTTTAAGATCTGTAGCACAGACGGAGAGAAGAGTTTCTAGCTAAAGGTGTCCTCTGAGATGCAACTTCACCCAAAGGGAATCTTTAGCTTTTGGTTTTCATGGCAGGTTGGAGATTTGAGATTTCTGATATTCTCCCAGCTGCTTCCCCACTCTGTCTTCCCTCCACCCTTCCTAACTCCCACCTTCTCTCTCTCTCTCTCTCTCCAGCCGGCCTGCTTTTTCCTTCTGCCTTGTCCTCAGGGAAATAACAGGATAAGCAAACCTGCAGCAGTTTTTTGTCTCTGAACAAAGACCCGTTCAAACAACACGGCAAAGGAAAAGAGAAAACCCAAATTTCCAAGCTCAACTGGCCAAGCTCCCCACAGAGATTTGGAAAACTTACCTTGGTGGTGATACAGAGTGGCCTTATCTGATATGTCCTCCCTTACTTTACTTTAAGAGCCTGTGCGTATGAAAACAACAACAACAGAAGAGTGTGTGTGCACAAACACACAGAAACAAGCTGTAAAAATCAGATGCTTTCATTACAGATCTCCATGGGTTGGGATAAGAACACGTGGAAATGTCACTCAAGTCAATGCAACACTGTCTAACTTCGACCCTTTGCAACAGCTCCTGCTCAGCAGCAGGTACCTAACAGCCAGTACAGAAACCAGAGAGGGAGTGAAGAGAAAGGTTTCAGTGGGTCTTCAAATGTGTGCACATACACACATACACACGCCCCTCACCTAAATGCCACCCAGACTTCCTCTTTGAGGAGCAGAACATTTTTAGTCTTTGGTGTTTGAAAACCACAGAGAAGGGAAAAGGCTTGGAGGCTTCAGGAGGTTTCTGACCCCCGTGGTAGGCAGGGCAGGGCAAGGCAGGACAGCAGTGGGTCCGTGTGCAACAGAAGAAGCTGGGTACCAGAAATGATCCCCAGCTGTGTGGGGGCTTGAGGGCAACTTACTTTACTTCTTGAACCGTCAGCTTCCTCGGTGACATGAACATGCAGAGCCCTGCCCTGCTGTTCACAAGGAGAAGATGAATGGGGCCGTCAGTCATTAGGCCCAGGAGGAAGTCAAGTGCAACACCGTTGAAGGCTAGGCAGCTCTCCGGAAATCAGGAGAGGTGCACGGTCAGGAGACGGTGGAGGTGGGCTATGTTCAATGTGCCCTCCTCACTCTCTGCAGGCAAAATCCAACTATACTGCAGACTGCTCGCGGCCAGGAGTGACCCACTCCCCGTCCTTGTCTCCTAACTGTGGAAAGAGCCTCTGCCCCACAGCTCTGTTCATTCACTTTTCATTTGTCCTCCAGATCCACGTGCCAGACAGAGTTCCAGCTCCCATAAATGAAAGTGAAAGACCTGGGAGGGGAGGGAAGAAACAATGGTCCTGTCCTGTGACCGGGGTCTGCTCGCTGGCATGGAGGAGGAAGACCACAAGTCTGGCAAAGACCTAATGTATCACTGAGAGACACGAAAGAAAGGCAGGAAGGACCGGGCCATGGGTGGCTGTCCCTTTCTCTCGTAACCTGAAGCAAGCAGCCTTGGCGGTGACCAACGTGCAGCCCTGGAACTTCTGAAGAACCAACCCGCAGGTGGGTCACACACATTAAGGCACCCCAGGATGGAGACAAAACCGCTCAGTGTTTGCACTGAACAGGAAGGAGTGAGAAAAAGACAGGCTCTTCCACGTAAAGTTGGAGCAGACGAGAAATCAAGATATACCCAGGTTCCAATTTGGGTCCCACTGTTTTCAACATGTGACTTGTCAGCTGCCTAGATGGCTGTCTTGGGAGGGGTTGGGGTAAGGGTGGGGGTGGGGGCTGTGCCTGAGCTCCAGCTAGCACTGGATAATTCTGATCACACCATCCAGTCACATCCAGTTCTGCAGGATACAGTTGCCCTGAATAATTCCTTTTATTCTATCAACTCAGCCCAGAGGATAAAAAGATGGATTTTTTTTTTTTTTTTACTTTGCATGGGAATGGCTTTGAACGTCACAGGGATTGGAGATGGCCCCTTTCGCACCAGCAAAGCCTCTTTGCAAACCAAATAAATGCGGGGATATTTCCTTTTCAGGGGACGGTTTTGATTTTAGCAACACCACTGTAAGAATAACGATGCAAAGCTCACCACGACCACCACCATAGGAGCCAACCTTTACTGAGCACTGATGTGGCCAGACACTGTGCTGCCAAGGGCTTCTTTTCCGATGTGGCTCATTTCGCTCTCACAGATTGCCTGTGCTGTACCAACAAGAAATTGATGCTCGGAGAGGGGGCTCAGTCTGTCTTCAGCTGTCTGAATCCAAAGCCCAGACCTCGGTAAACATCATCCCTCCTCACCGTGGTGTACCCTTCTGTAAGCTTCGATAAATGCCTCTTCCGTTCTGTATCTCCATGTCTTTCCCCAGGGCATGGAGCACCTTTGCAGCCCTGCCATCTGAAATGGCATTATTTCACTCGTCCTGGCTGTCACTGTCCCCTGCCAGCCTCCCTTCTGCCCTCCCCCACCCCCCAACTATTTACACAGACTAGAACGCTATGACCGATGGAGTTGCTCTATTTTTAAGTGTCACATTAAAACAGCATCCCCGAGGGGAGAGAGCATTTGATGGAAAGGCAGAACCTTTACAAGCACCAGAGGAGGCATTAAAATGTCCAGAATATGGTAATTTTGCCAAACTTGGGACTTTACTCTGGAGCCCGTGGGGACCCTCGTTCTGATCCATCTGTGAAAGCCATCAGCGGTCAGTAAGCCTTCTGGGCAGCAGGGTTAGCACAGGCAATTTTGCTTCATTTAATTCAAGTCTCACTGAGATGGTCTAAAACACTCCCCCAGAAGAGATGGGCCATGAAGCCAACTGCAGCCACATGAGCCCCCGACTGGGGCCCTGGCTGTCAAGGTATCTATATTCCTGGCATCGCTCACCCGACAGCCCTCCCTTGACTGTGGCCCTGGAAGCACTGATGCTGTAAGCAGAACCTGCTCGCTCGGGAAATCATCTTGGTGCCTAAGTTACACAGGCGCCTGCGAGGGCACGCCATCATTTCCAGATCACCGACCCCACGTGCCACTTGGCCCAGGCCGGATTATTTCTGGTTCACAGAGGTCCCGCAGGACCCCAGCACCAGCCCAAGACGACAAAACAAAAGCTAACGGATCTTAAAAATCTATATTCCATCTCAAGAACGCCATAGCCGATTAGGAATGCTATGATTGGCTTTCGGGAAACAGAGAAGAGCCAGACGAACTAACCAGGACCACTCTGCCCAGACGGAAGCCCGGTGTGGGCACCCGGAGTCAGTCGTGTGTTGCATGCAGGCTGGGCAGGCATATTCCGGAGCGCGGTCACCATTTCCCAGCTGAGAGCGGTAGATAAAATTAACCCCAAATCATTCGAACACCATTTCTCTGCCTGGAAGTCCCAGCTAAGTCTCCATTCCTATGAGACACCTGGGGCTGACATGACCCCACCCTGCGTGAACACTGCCAGGTGTTCGCTTTTTTTTAAAAACCTTCTCCCCCACCTTCCCACCCCGCCCCCGATGCTTTTTCTTGTTTTCCAAGGGAACTTAAAGGTTGTTTTGCAGAACGGCTGCGTGTTCCCTGTCGTTCATGCATTTTTTCCCCTGGATTCCCTACAGCTGTCACATAGATCCCCTTGCAACTGCACTTGCTAACATGCAAAAGGAAAGGGAAAGGGGGCCCGAGACTACCCCGAATGCCACCTGGCCCAGGTAAAGTACTGCCCCAGGTCCTCCTGAACGCCAAACCCGTCTGTCTGGCATTCTCATCCTCACGCGAAAGCAAGTGCTGGCTGCAATTTGTTTCGATCTGGTACCTACCTCCCGGGAGAGCCAAACGCCACGCCGAGTCCCCTCGCTCAGAGCGTCCGCCGGGCCCGCCGAGCTCGTCAGTGGCCCCAGTTCACTTTCTCCCTGGGACTGGCTCCTAGGAACTCGCGCAGCACCCCCGGCAGCCAGAGCATCTTCTTGCCAAAACCCTCGGTGCAATCACCACCCTTCCGGCAGCCTCCAGCCCCAGCTCTTCTGCACTCGCGCCTGGAAAACAGCCCCCGCTGAGGGAGCTGCCACGCCGCCGGGGGCAAAAGTGCGCCTTCCCTGCTTCGAGCCCCCGTCCAGAGCACCCAGTGCTGCTCTTAACGCCCCTCCCCGGCCAGCCGAAGGAAGTCACTCACGGACCCCAGCCTGGGCGGCACCAACTGATCCCAAGCCAGCCCCGGGGCGTCCAGTCAGCTGCTCCGAGAGCCTGAGACGCTGAACCAGGAAATAAGCAGCTCGGCCAGAAAAATCCTAATAATTGTCGGCGGAGCTGCGAGCCGAGCTGAGAAGTCGCTGTTGCGGGGCTCGCGTCCTCGGCATGCTAATGAGGCCGTGATGTCAGCAAGTCCGTCATGGGCATCTGGACAGCCCTGTCCCTGCTGCCCAGCTCTGAGATTTATTTACATGCAAATTAGCCTTATCTTCCGAATCAATATTCCCTAAACCCTGGAGAAGGGGGAAGAAAGCCTTTGCTGAATGCAGAGGCCCCTGCTAGGCAGCCCCCAGATGAGTTCCCCTCCCCAAAAAAAAAATCGCCTATAACCAGAGAGGCTTTTACCAGACATGCCTAGCTCTCCCATTCAAGGGCTGTGCTTGTGCCAGGATCCGGTCTGGGCACAGTGATCAACCTGCGAGCCTGTTTCAGATTAAATGTCTGCCGGCTGCCGCCCCAACGCAGGAGTAAATTACAGCACCCCCATGCAACCCAGCTCCCCCAAATCGCTGCGTGGAACCTCCAATCTCCTCTACTTTGTTTTCATTCCTGCGCTCTCTTCAACGTTCATTCCAGCACGTCAGCTGTCCGCTGGCCTGCCTCGAGGTTTTGCGCCCAGGTGATGACTCAGTCACCCGTGCCCCTGTCCCCCACCCCAACAAGGGAGCATGGGACATCACAGGCATAGCCTGCTCAGGGGCTTCTAAGGACTCTTAAGCCCAGAGAGCACTGGTCCCATCTTCTCCTTTTACAGGAGAGGAAGCTGAAGTGTTGATGCTTTAGGCACTCCCCCCCCACCCAAGCCCCAGCCATGCAGAGAATTTCAGCAGTGGTAGGGCCGGAACCCAAATTTCCTAGACCTTGGGCAGGAAAAAGCATTGTTAAATGCCTTTGAGCCTCTGAGCTCCAATCACTTCTCTGTACACTGAAGGGGCCTGTTGAAGCTATCACGAAGAACTAACTCTAGGGATTTGGACGGCTGTGGGTTCGAATCCGCACTCTGCTTCCTGCTTGCAACCTGACTTTGGATAAGGAATTGAACCGTAGGGAGTCTTCCTTTTGTTTACCTGTGCTGATCCCTCACTGAGAAACAGCCCACTGAGCACTCACTATATGCCACACACTGTTCTAGAGCCTGGGGGGGGCGGGGGTTTGCGGTCTCTGTTCTCACAGAGATCTCTGGTCTCACCACCACTTCCAAACCCAAACAAAGTCACTGCCATCAAGTGACTCGATAGGACCGGGGAGAGCTGTCCCTGTGGGTCTTCTGAGACTGCAACTCGCCTGGGAGTAAAAAGCCTTATCTGTCTCCTGCAGAGCAGACAGTGGTGAATTGCTGACCAGGAGGGAAGCAGCCCAATGGGTAAGCACTCCATCACCGAGGTGTAATCACAGAACGCCTAACGAGGTAGCTCAGGTGTGGAGAGGATTCACCCAACATCACACGCAGTCAATAGCAGCTCTCTCTGATCTTTTGGAGGAAGTCCAGAAAACACACACGTGGCCTTCCTCCAATCAAGGATGACCACTGCCTCTCCCTTCTGAGTACTTCAAGGGTCATCTTTTACTTTTCAAAAGCAATTGTTCTCCCAAAGCTGCCTGTGCAGCATCCCGGGCCAGGTGAAAGACAGCGCAAGGCAGCCCAGCCAATATTCTGGACTCCGTGCCTGTGAGAAAGAAGCGCTGGGGGACACTGTGGAGGGGGAGAAGGCCTGGAGAGGTGTAGCCCCACGGTGCACAAAGGCGCCCCAGCAGGACAAAGCGGCCAGCACGGCTCCTGGCCCACACGCCCCCCCCCCCAAAGAACCCACTCTGATGAGCTGTGCCCTTCCAGCTGGGGTTCCTGAAGCTTCAAATGAATTTCTTTGTTGGATGTGGGGAAGTTAAATTATGCCTTTTGTTATACGTAATTGTATTAATAATGCTTAATAACTTCTTTCAGAGTACCTCTCTCTGGTTCACAGAGACCTTTCATGGTGAAAATCATGGGACCTGGAATAACTTTGCATGAATAGAAATGGAACGGGCGAGAATGAGGAATGTGCCTTGCGTTAGGTCTCCATTCTGCGTAACTCAGAACTTGTCAGCGGGTGGCTGGTCCTTCCCACCCCAGGTCTGAAGACCCTTCAAAGTCTATTACCAGGTAGCAGTTTGGGGCCACTGCCAGACAGGTGGAAGCAGTGTCATTCTACCTGCTAGGGCCAAGGACAAGTCCTTTCCCATTCCGTGGCCCAGTTCTTCATCTGAAGATGAGCACAGTATTCCCAGATCTATTTGTTATTTGAATTATGAGAAAAATTCTTCAGTCATTGACAATGAAGAGAAAAGGTGGTGTAGAGAAAGGCACAGGAGGTTTCTTTAAATCTGGGGTAGAGATCATGCATAGCTACTAACTTTAATACGGGTCTGAAATGGATCGCCTGGGCTTAAAGTCTACTTCTGATACCTGTTTGCATGGGCAGAGATTCTCATCTGTAACTTGGGGACAAGTAACCCAAGTGTCTGCCTTCACAAGGCCAATGTGAGGGTCAAGTGAGAATTAGCATGAAACTCCTAGCACCCGGACTTGCATACAGCAAACACCCAGCAGACATGAGCAATTGAGGGGAGAAGGCTCCCACCGTTAACTTGGGGACAGATTAGGACACTGACCAGTTAACGTTCAGAACTCAGGAGAAAGCAGGTGAGTGAAAGGCTGCAAAACCATCCCCCCTCCCAGGGCACATCTCAGAGTCCACGTAACGTGGTTGAGCCTCTGACATGCTCTTCTCTGCACGAGACATCGCAAATACTCTAGGATTGCTATGAAACTGGTGATGAAGTGGTGGTTCAGGGGGAGAAATCTCATGCTCGATGCAGGAGAGCCAGGTTCAATGTCTGGCTAAGCCCTTGGAGGCTCGTGTGCTTCTATGATGCTAAACAGATGTCAGGAGACCTTCCAGACTAAGGCAGACCGGGAAGAAAGGCCTGGCAACCTACTTCTGAAAACCAGCCAATGACAAGCCGACGGCTCACGATGGTCAGATCTAATTGTACAAGGGGTTGCCATGCATCGAGGACCAACTCTCCAGCAGCTACAGCAGCAATGAAACTAGAGAAGGAAGCTATACAAACAACGCTGTTATAAGACGCCAAGTAACGATTGGGAAGCATGTATTTTCCTCCCATCCAGTCTCATCTATGTCCACTCACTCATTAAATGAGCACCTATAATTTGCCTGAGACTGCGTTAGGCCTTAGGGGCATCAAGGTGCCCAAGATAGACATGGTTCCTGTCTTTTAAGAGCTTAGAAATGAGAGGGGGAAGACAGGCAATGAAGTAAACCATGAGAATGGAATCTGATGAATGTTTTGAGAAGGTGAGGGCTGAGACCCCGGCGGTCTGACCACTGTCAGCAGGAGGATGGTGACAGCACATGGCCTAGTTTCTTCTACCTGCCCTGCTCCCTGAAGGTGCTCAGTGATAAGGGAGCTGGCGAATCAACGCAGCCCCTTGCACAGATCATTGATATTTTAAATATCCATGAATTGATAATTCCTTGTGACAATTATTTTCATCCTCGAGAACATTCTGTTCAGAATTTTCGGAAAATACACTGGTTAAGCATGAGACAAAGTGGGAACTTTGAGAATTTCACGCATGTGGCAAACAGACAAGGATCACCCTGTGATTTACTAATACAAACACATGCACATAAGTGCAGGCAATATATAGGAAACATTCACACTGGTATATACTGTGGACCTAGGGGACAGAGAGGAGAAAGATGGGGTTTTTACTCCTGTAAACAGTTACAGTCTCAGAAACTCACAGGGCCAGTTCTACCCTGCCCTATAGGGGCGCTATGAGTTGGCACCAACTCAGGGGCAGTGAGGTTGTTTGTTTTTAAATGGGACATAGGAAGGGGACTCTTTGGCGGTAAAGTGTTCAGCTGCTAACCAAAAAGTTGGCTGGTTCAAACCCACCAGCCAGTCTGCAGGAGCCGAGGCAGTCTGTTTCTGTGAAGGTGTCAGCCTCGGAGACTCAGTGGGGCTGTTTCACGCTGTCCCACAGAGTGGCCGTGAATCTGAACGGACTCAGGCAGTGGGTTTAGTTGTTCTGGTTTGGTGAAAGGTTGGAGATTCCTGTTGGCATACCACCAACTCCCAAACCAATCTCACTGCCACCAAGTCAACTCTGTCTCATAGAGACCCCATAGGCCAGGACAGAGCTGGCCCTGTGGGTTTCTGAGACTGTAACTCATCACTGGAGTAGAAAGTCTCAATTTTGCCCCTGGGTAGGGGCTGGTGGTTTCGAACTGCAGACCTGCTGGTTAGTAGCTCAATATGTAACCCTATGCCACCAGGGACACCAGAGCAGGATGTAAATACTGGCCTCTAGAAGGTTCCATTCAAGTGGGAAAATAGATGATACATTTAGCCAAAAGGCTTTAGCTGCATATCTCATTTGGAAAGGATGACAGGGACACACGATGGACCGTGTCTGTGATGGTCAAGAATCAGGGAGTCAAGAATCAGTGGGAGTGAAGTTGGGCTCACTCCAAGGGCAGCGGCAAGAGAGGGCAGTTCCGGGCAGGGGTGCATGTGCGGCTATGAGGCCGAGCATTAGCATGAATGCAGCCTGAAGGACCCATCTGTACGGGCACAAGACAGCAGAGCAGCGGCCGCCAGCACTGCAGGTACGGACAAGGAGGCTGCTCCTCACGGGCCGGACAATCAAATCCTCTTTCAATTTGACGGGGCGTCCATCAGAATCTTATTAGAGGATTATGGGGAAAGGTTAAGTGAATGCTTGCTGGCTAACTCACAGAAGAGCAGGGAACGGTGATGACAAGGACAGTGACCTCCCAGAGAACTGGCTTTCAGGAGCAAACTGGTGACAGGCGGTTTTTTTCTTAATCTCCATTTCC